AGGTACTTATAAAAAACACAACTTCCTGTCTCACAGTTTTGGAGGCTGGAAGGCCAAGAACAAGTAAATTGGGACAAGGGCCTGCTTCCTCATAAACAGCCTCATTTCACTATAACATCACAGTTCTCCCTCTGACCTCATTATTTGAGAACAGTTAGTTAATTCATGATGGCTTCACCCTCACGAATAACCTACTAAAGACTGATCTCCCAATTCCCTTAACATGGGAGTAAGGACTTCAACATGTATTTTGGTGAGCATGCACATTCAAATCACAGCAGTGCATGTGTACTGCCAGGGGACGGAGGCTTTGCCTATTGCTCATAAAGAGCTCGCCTGAACTAATGACAGAAGCTGCACTTTATTTATTTATTGTTGGTTGTTGGTCTTGAACTCTGGGCCTGGGCGCTGTCCCTCAAATCTTCAGCTCAAGGCTAGCACTCTACTATTTGAGCCACAGTGCCACTTCCAGTTTTCTGGTGGTTAATTGGAGATAAGAGTCTCACTGACATTCCTGTCCTGGGTGGGTTTGAACTAGGATCCTCAGATCTCAGCCTTCTGAAGTAGCTAGGATTACAGACGAGTCATCTGCGCCCAGCAGAAGCTGCCCCTTTAAATACTTTTTTTTTTAAACTTAGGATAATGACACTTCAGCCACTTGCAAGATGAGTGAGATTTAATAATTTTGAAAAAGATGTTTACATGCAGATTTTTCTTACTGACTAGTTCCTATGACATAATGACATGAAGAAAAATAATTTTATCCATCTACTCAGCAGAGAGAGAGAGTGTCATTCAGAGCTTGTGATGTCTGATGATAACAAATGCAGTCAAATCTAACTCATTTGTTTCTTCCCATGTAACTACAAAGCCCAGACATATATCTGCCTTTAAAAACATCTGGCTCTGTGAACCCATTTCATGTTCCTAAGGTCAGACAAACCATACATTCTAGTATACTTCTACTTAGCTGCCCATGGCTGCCTGTTTTATTGGTAATTTTTGGACCTGTAATGGTGTTATAAATATCCAATTATGTTGGAAGCAAAAAGTCTCTAACTTTTAGGGTACACTAGAGACCCACTGCCAACCTCCTACAACCTACCAATTTCTAAGCTACAGTAGAAAGAGAATGCCTTTCAGCTATTCCTCAGAAAAATGTGAGGGAGTCATTGGTGGTCTCAATCTTTAAATGGGGTCCTGGATAATTAGGCCTATTCTTATGCCCTGGCCTTAGGAACAATTCTACTTTCTAGCACCACCACCCCCACTAGAAAAATAAATCTGTGGGTATTAATAAGGAGTGATGGGTAACATTAAAGATATGAAAGGAATTCCATGTCAACGGTAAGACTAAGTAGCAAAAATACCCTCTGAAATTTTAGTATAATGATTGCAGCCTAAAAACTGGAGAAAAGAAGCTTGAATTGATATGAAGAGAAACCAGTTTCCATTTTGAGACAGAAGAGAGTTTTATTCTTCACAGACACTTCATTTTTAAAAAGGACACTTCATAGTTGTTTATGTGTTTCATATATCTAAAGTCTGGATTCTTCTAAAGTTATATTACTTCTCATTATTCTCATACATATTGATTAATACATATATCCATGATAATTTTTTATCTTCTTTATGACTACTTTATCTCTTAAAATATATGCTCAGTTTATGTAAACTTTTAGATATGCTACAAGCATTAAAACAGTCAACAGGAAAAAATTTTAATTTTTCAACCTCTTTTGCAAAAAAATACCCCGTTTTGCAATAGACTTTCTGTAGAGTTCTCATTGACATGCGTGCATTTTAGAAACCCTAACTCAGCAAAGCTTATTGTTATGAATTGAAAGTCCTTTTTACTTCTCCATGTAACTGGAAAGTCTAGACAGGCATCTACCTCCAAGGACATAAGGTTCTGCAAAGATCATTGTGATGAACTTTGCTCAGCATGACCTCAGAGTACTTTGGGAATAATGTGTTTTATAATGACATAGGTATTGTCTACTCTCTATTTCATTTATGCTCAAAATCTTGAAGGAGAAATATAGTGAAAAAGTACTACAAAAATCATAGTGTTTTCACATAATGAAGAATTAATATTTTATTTATATAATTATAGAATATAGGTATCTTCTTTAATATCTATATTCTTTAAGCATTCTGGCAGAGACTGTACTGCTAGTACCACATGAGAATAATAATGGGCTAGTGCATTTGGTGGTTTAGTTGTCTGATCAATAAGGCATGATGAGGTTAAGTGAGTTCTATCAAGAGGTTTATGATTTATTCTTCTGTGTATAAAATGACCATTCTTTAAAACCATTGTACAAGCAGCCCTCCTCCCCTCCTTTTTATTAAGGAGCAAAACCACATTCAATCAAATCTATACTTCATTTGAACCTGATTTTATCTGTCTGGCAATCAAAACAATTTGTATGGAATCAAAGGGAATGAAATTTGCAAATAGATAGAGAAAGTACTGGTAGTGCTCTGCTCTAGCTCCAGCTCTGAAACGCCAACTTTGAAGAAGCATCGTCCATGTCAAATTGCTCAGCAGCATTTACCTCTCATTTTTTCCACCATATCAATAACTAGCTCTTGTCATCCTTAAAGTGCTTCTCAAACATTAAAAAATCTCAAATTATACACTCTGTTCTTTGCATTTATCTTGACCAGCTGTCAGGAGAGGCAGTTTTATTCTTTAATTCTTCTCCTCTTGGCTCTGTGTTTCTTCTGCAATAAATATGAATGGAAAATGAAAGGTACAACTTAGTATGTTTATAGCAAAGGGAGCATATAATTTTCTTCAAGCAATATACTTTCAGATTATATAACAACTGTTTATTTTACACCTGGATACTTAGAGACTATTTTCCTTGTGTTTGAGTCTTGATCAGGTTTTAAGTAGAGATTTTGAAACCAGGAAGGTGAATAAAAGAGAGATTTGCAAAAGAAAACCCCAACATTATTGAGCATTTATGTTATCATTTTTACCTATTTAAAATCACAAAATAATTGTCCCAAGAGATCATAAAGAAAAGTAAAATTTCAAATTCATATAAATTCCTCAAAATAGGCAATTTTTTGAGCTTGCATTAATTATTTCTTAAATTTGTAGTTTCTCATTTTCATGATCAAACGCCATAAATAAAAAATCGTTTCCTTTAATTATTTTTCTACTTTAAAAAATATTACCAGCATTCAACTAATTCTGTTAAGTGTTGGTAATTTGTACTTTCAGTTTTAAGATTCCACCAGGTGTGAATGATATTGTCTAATACCATAATACACAGCTCACTGAAGTGAATCTGAAGTACAGAAACAATTATTCAAAGATTCTCTACTTAGTGGTATTAAAAAGCCTTTCAGAGATCAAGAAACGGAAGATTAGCAACATATCAACTTTCAGGTGGGCCACTCCTAAACACTTATAATTCACTTGCTTCCCTGAAAATCATTATTCAGAAGGTTTGATTCACTTGTAGTCTCACTTGGGCCTTAAATCTCATTACAAGGCACTCCAACCATTCATTCATTTCAGACCTACCATGACATATGATGGGAGTTTGACACAAAAATCAATGAGAGGATATGGAATGAGTTTTTCCCTAATTTTTCCTTCAGTGGGCAGCCCTTCAAGCAGTGTATAAAATCTTTCTTAATGTAGCATTCCTTCTTTGTGTCACTTTCCCTAAATTTTGAGTTCATGAACTGAGGATATATATATATATATATATATATATATATATATATATATATATATTCCCATTTTTTGAGGAGAAAAGGAAATGTTTTCTTTTGTCATTATTAACTTCTACTAAAGTCATTTTAAAATCTTAGATTCTTTGCCATGTATTAGCTACATTAGCTTTTATAGTCTTTTGAAAAATGGGCTTAGGTTCACCATTTTATCTAAAAATAGTTATGTTTGGCTATTGCCTAGTAACTAATTTGCTTGCCTCTGGGTATTCAAAGAATTATATGCCATTTATCTTACTCCTGTAAAGAAGTGGGCCTTCTACAGTGAAAACATCAGAAGAGTAAGTTCATTAACAAAAGTAATTGACTTTAGCTTTTCATGCACTATTTTCAACCCCCTACCATTTCTAGTCATTGTACTTTGTTCACATCTGTTTAAAGGGTTCAAATTTTATTTTCTAATTCAAATAGTTAACTTATACTGATGTTTATATTATTAATACTGTTATCTGAAAAAACTACATAGAGGGAAGTATGATAAAGATTGTCTAAGCCAAGAAAACATTTACATATTTCTACACACTTCCAGAAAACTCAATGGAAATTGAATAACATGTTAACAGAAGCTGTTTCAGAGTTGTGAGATTAAAATTTTTATGTATCTATTTGCTTATGTACTGGTTGTTATTTTTAAATTTTTTGAACATTTTCTCAAGAGCATAATGTTCTTAAAATCAGGAACAAGAAATTAAAATATAATATTCTCCAATATTCCTTTCTTAGTTTTATTTCCCTATCAATAATAACAACAACAATAAAGAGAAAGGAATGACCTCAATGAGAGGGACAACTCTGTACCTAAACTAGGATCTCTGAAGAGAATTTCTGATTCTATTTGAACTGTTGTATCACAGACCGTGATTCTCTTTTGAAAAAGGAATGTATTTTCTCTGTTTTCTGTTTAAAGAAAAAAAGAGTGTGGTCCCAAACTGCACTGTTTTTGATGGGACACCAGAAGAGATGATAGAGAAGAAAAATGAATGGGAGGAGAAGTAAAATTGAATGAAATAAGAGGAAAAGCTATTTGGCCTGGATGGTAGACAGATGGAAGAGGGGATATGACAAAGGCTGATTACATGGGCACACACCTTTTACAACATCAAGTAAATGTTAAGGAAGAGATGGGCTGAGGCACCTGAGGGAGGCGCTGAGCCACTGAACAGCTTTGTTCTGTGACTGAAAACAATGCAGGGGTTATCCATGTCTAAATGTTTTCTTTTTTTCTTCTCTGAATGTTTGACTAGGAAATGCATCGACAACCACAACTGTTATAGACAATAAAAATGGATCTGTGCCCAAGTCCCCTGGAAAAGTGCTGAAGAGGACAGTCACAGAAGACATAGTGACAACCTTCAGCTCCCCAGCAGCCTGGCTCCTGGTCATTGCACTCATCATCACATGGTCAGCCGTAGCTGTTGTCATGTTTGATTTAGTGGATTACAAAAACTTTTCAGGTAAGAGCCACAAAACTTGAATTTTAAATGAAAGGAAACAATAGTCTCTTTAGCAGTAGCTTTGTTTCTCTTCGCCCCAAAGTGTTGTGGGAGAAATAAAGCTACCACAAATGTGCTCAAGTGTCCATGTGGTCAGTTTTCTTCCATTGTCAGTCTTCTTTCATTGTCTTTCCTCATCGACAAAACTCTAGATTTGAGCAGTCAATTATGATTCACATTTTACAGAGTTGGGCCTCATCATTTATGTTCTTTCCCCTTCCCTTTTCTGTTTTCTTTTTCTAGTAGGGATAGAATACAATTCAATAGGACGATATTTCATTTTACCTAGAGATCTTCTTCTTATGGGAGGCATTTACTCATGTAACAATTATTTATCAAGTGCTCATCAGAAATCGTATCAGAAAATGGTTGTGTAACAGGGGACAAATATACAGTACAATTATCATAAAGGAATAGAATGGTTTTAGGTGTTGATGAACATAGAAGTGTGAGTAATGTGATTTCTCCCATCTATATTCCTGATGGATGGTGTGGTAGACATTTTTTTACAAATAAAGGTAAGTTGAATGATGTTGACAAAAATATAACAACTATTACTCTAGAACCCTAAGTGCTGTTGCATGGCTGCTCTCTTTCCACTGGGCACTGTCATTAAGTACTGTGGATAATGCCTATGTGAATGGCATTATATCTGATTGAGCAAAACCGGCCTTTGTGTTACTACTACAAGATTCAAGAAGAATCTGAAGTCATGTTTTAAGTCTCTGAGTAGTGAGCAGTTTCCATAATCTCTGCCTGCCGAACTCACATGGTCATCAGTTGGAGCTCTTCTTTCATTACTACCATTTCCATTGTCACACTTACTTAAATCCATTCTCTTTTAAGGGTACTTATGCAATCTATTATGTCTTTTATCCATCCACTACTCATTTATATTGCTCTAAGACATCTTCACAAAACATGCATTTGATCAAGTCATGCAGAGCAAGCAATTTGGCATGAAATTCATCTTGTAATTCAACATATACATTCCATTCCCAACCATATTTACTTCTTCTCTTCCTGGTTGGACCTAGGACAACATAGAATTTTACTTCTTGCTGACTCTGCTCCTACTGTTTTCCCCACCACAGCCTTCAATAGAGTAGAAAGAGTAGTAGTTCATATCTAAGCATGGGGACTGTGGCTTCAGTTCTCTGATATTAGTATAGACCTTATTATTTGCTAGCTTTTTTTAAAATGAGAAACCTTTGTACACTCTCTGCTTAATTTTCATCATTTATAAGATCAGGATTCTAATAGTACCTATGTAATAGGATTGTCAGAAAGATAATGAAATATATGAGAAGTGCTTAGAAAAGAACCTGGTTCACCATGTATGCTGTATAAATATTAATATCACTAGGAGGAAAGCCTCCTTTTTCACTTTTATCTGGAGAATTCTTATTAACCCCTCAGGGTCTACTCCATCTGTGAAGCATTCTGAGATGTCATTAGAAAAATGGGTTATACCATACTTTCATTCTCTTTCTGCCTATGGGCATGTGCATTACAAGCAGCAGGATAAATATTGTGTTATAAATGTCTGTTTACTCATCTTGGGATATGTGTGTGCGTATGTGTGTGTGTGTGTGTGTGTGTGTGTGTGTGTCTGTCTGTCTGTCTGTGTGCTGGAGATGAGGCTTTTGCACACTCTAGGCAGAACTCTGCTTGTGAGTTTTATCTGTGTCCATTACCTTGTCCATGTCATTCAAGGAAAGTTCAGCTATATTCTTCATTGTATATGAATGTCACATAGCAAACTTTCTGATACACATTGCTGAATATAATTAATAATGCTCACACTTTGAGTTTTAAATGTCTTATGTACAAATAGACTTGCAAATTTTACTTCATCAAGTCAAAAAACCTTTTGAACGTAACATTCACAATTAATAAAGTAGCCTTAATGAAATTCAAATGGATAAAATACTCTTTTATACAAATGAAATTTTACTTATCCTCTTTTGTAATAGTTATTTTTATTTGTTAATAAACTGCTTCAATAGTGGGTAGATTAAAAAACAACAAATATTCATTATTACATTAGTAATTGTAATTAGGAATTTAGCTGGATGGTCTCTTCGGAGATTGCAGTGTGATTGCAGTATGTGGTATGATTAATGGAACTTTTTCTAAGGATGTCTTATGAACTTGGCTCTTAAAATAATATTGGTGTTTCCTCACTATGTGGCAGATGGTTTCCCTTCAAGTAAGTGATCTGAGAAAGAGCAAAGCTGAAGTCACCTTGCTCTGAAGACTACATGGAATTCCACATTGTCATTTTTGCAAAGTCCTTTAGGTTCATATGTTAGCCCCATTCTGCACTGAAAAAACCTAGACAGATGATGGGTTGATACTGTAATTACTGAAGCACAAAGAAAACGAGTAAGCTTCCGGATGATAGGCTCGTAATTCCAGGTTTAAAGGGGTGAAAAGGTGCACCACATGGATGGATTCAAATGAACAAAAAATAATCCCAGAATTTCAAATCTAAAAGAAATTCTTCTAATAATAAATTTATTAAAATTTAAACAATCAATTTCTGGAAACAAAAGAATACAAATTTTAAAAACTCAGTGTAATTATAGAAAAGAACAATTGGTACCTCATACTAATCCTTGTGTAGATGGCACACATTCACTTATTTTAATATTCTACTATCATTTTACCATTTTACTTATATTAATATTTAAATTTCATTTTTTGGTCGATCATGAGGCTTGAACTCTGTCCCTCAGCTGTTCAGCACAAGATGAGTGCTCTACCACTTGAGCCATAGAGCCACTTCCGTTTTTCTGAGTGGATTGTTGGAGATAAGAGTTTCACGGACTTTCCTGCCAGGGCTGGCTTTGAACCATGATCCTCAGATCTCAGCCTCCTGAGTAGCTAGGATTACAGGCGTGAACCACCGGTGCTGGACTTGAATTTCATTTTTATCATTATTTCCATTTAGCATTTTCAATGCTATCTTCTTGAGGTTCATCTTTGTTGCCAGAGTTCCGAAATATAAACTATATTCTTGGGGCTGGGAAGGTGGCTCAGTGGTAGAGTGCTTGCCTTGCATGCATGAGGCTCTAGGTTCAATTCCTCAGCACCACATAAACAGATAAAAAGGAGGTGGAGCTGTGGCTCAAGTGGTAGAGTGCTAGCCTTGAGCTGATGAGCTGAGGGACAGCACCCAGGCCCAGAGTGTAGGCCCCATGACCAACATAACAAAAACAAAAAAACCCAACTATATTCTTAATTTAATAGATATATTTGAAATTTTTACTGGGGATTAATATTATCATCCTATTTAGTCTTTTATACTGCCTACTTGTCTTTGAGGATCTTCTTGTTAGTGTTTAAAAGATAGAGCTAATAGAATAAAACATGCTGGAAGCTGATTGTTGGTGGTGAACACCTGTGGTCCTAGCTAGTCCTAGTAGGAAACTGAGATCTGAGGATCGTGATTCAAAGCCAGCCCTGGCAGTAAAGTGCCAGTGAGACTCTTAGCTCCAATAAACTACTAAAAAAGGCTGGAAATGCCACTGTGGCTCAAGTGGTAGAGCCCTAGCCTTGAACACAAAGAGACTCAGGGACAGCACCTGAGTTCAAGCCCCAAGACTGGAAAAATACAAGAACCAAAGCCAAAACAAAGAAGCATGCTGGAGATGATCATGAAGGCCAAGAGTTAAGCCAGCTACTATTACATTAGCAATGATTCTCTGATGCTTTAAAAAACTAGATATTGTTCATAGTGAGGTGAAAGTATATTTTCATACTACACTGGTTTGAGAAGGATGATTATCCTTCCAACAACATCATAATTCCATATTTTCAGAATGCGATCTGAATTACTTGCGTTTGCGTGTGCTTCCATGAAAATGTTTTGCAAAGTCATATGACGAGGAATTTCTATTTCTTGTTCAGTGAAATGATGTTGGTCCCTAAAACTGCGAGTTTGATTCTTCTTAACAAGTAAGACAAATTTCAGGATACCAGACAAACAGCCTAGGAAAGAAAATGTCACCTACATTTCTTCCCCAATGTAATGTCCATACAATATTCAAATAATACTATGGAAATATGTCCGGTTTGATGGGAGCAGCAGGAGCAGTCTGATGGATAACGGGATAGGGATTTGTTTGGTGGCTTATAAATTCCTGGGAGCTGATTAAGCAGTTGGTGGAAAGCTGCTGCAGCGATTCTGAAACTGAAAGGAAGGTCAGATGGACACATAGGCGGAGAGAAAGGACAAACCACGACCCTCATTTGTCTCTCAGCACCTCAAATTACCATGACGTGGAGGAGTTGCAAGATGAATTGGTGCCCTTTGGTACTGAACTGCGCATGTACCTGAGAAGGTTTTGGAGATGTGGGGAGACAGCGCAGCAGGAGCTGGGGGGCAGCCAGCATGTTGGCAAAAATATGCACAATGTCAAGAACACCTGCCCTGTAACCAACCTTCAGACAAGGAGCGCTAAGTTTCATGATTACTTCCTTTCTGACTTCCAACGTTTGCACCATTTTCGCTTCATGCTCAACAGACACAAGATAAGATTTATTATCACCCTGATATTATTTACACTGCCTTTACTTTTTTTCTTCTTCTGGAAAACAAATGCTGTAGAAAAGTCTACATACAACAAGTTTATTTCTTCATAATTGAGTACAGGGGTCCACCAGGACTGCTGGAAATCTGGCCTGCAAGCTTGTGTACAGTTTCTCAAGCCCTTTTAGTAAACAATTTATAACTGACAATTTATAACTCCTTGAGAAGCAGAATAAGTGGGCTTTCATTGAAATTTCTTTTCAATGTTTTCTGCTTTATGAAGAGTCATGTTTCTTTCTAAACAATAATAAGCACAAGCAGAATTTCTAAAGAAACAATTACAAATTGAGGCATCAGTGCATGCTAATGAATGTATAGAAATAGATGGCTATAATTCTTAGTTTTTCCTTACATAAGAAGAAGG